GCAGCTCCCCGCTTCGGAAGAGAGCGGTGACCGTCCGGGCTAGGTCTACGGCTAGGATATCAGAGAGGGCCTTCAGTACCTCGTTCGGGATCATGTCAGGCCCGGGGGCCTTCTGGTTCGGTAGCCGGCGGATAATCCGGGTGATCTCATCTGGGGTGACCTCTTGCCCGATATCGAATCGTGGGAACTGTTCGTTGGTTATATCTTGGAGGTCAGCGGCACCGCTCCGTGGGAAGAACTTTGTAGCAAGGATCTCTGCTTTCCCTTGGTTGTCTCCCGTCGGGGGATCGTTCTCCGTGCGCCTAAGTGGTGGGATAGCTGTAAGCCCACCGGGTTGCCCAGCGGTCTTCTGGCTCCACTTATTCAGTCTCCAGAGCCCTCGGTTGTATATATAGTCCGGGTGATTCTCGTCTTTAGTAAGTGTCTGGATAAGTTTTCTCCATCTCGTCCGGCCGTCACTACGCATCTTCCTCCTTAGGGCATTCCTTTGGTATTTCCAGTCTCGTTCGTCGTCCGGGTCCTGGGTCCGTTGGAGCCGGCGTCGGGCCTGGCGGGCGCCAGCCAGGAACTCTGCTGCCTGTGGTGACCACTCCGGTCTAGACCAGTCATAAGGTCGCGCCCGTTTACAGTGCTTGTCTAAGGTGCCGTAAAGAAGTCTAATAAGGTTGTCAATCGCAGTATGGGGTTCTGGCACATACCACTGGGAGCTAGAGACATCTTCCCGGATTTTTTCCCACGGGGCATCCTTGAGTGTGAACCTTGGGCTCGTCTGGTGTGAGGAAACCTTGGCATCTAGTTGGATCTCGATTGGAAAGTGGTCCTTTGTAGTAGACCACTCCGGCCGTGGGTGGTAGAGGAGGATCCGTAAGGCGATCTCCGGCGAGGCAAAGGCTAGGTCAATGACCGACTGGCTTTGGTTCCGCTTCCATGTTATTACCCCTTGCTCGTTGAGGAGCTGGAGGTTAGCTTGCTCGGTTTGGAGGAGTAGGTGGTCTGCCTTTAGCTCCTTTAGGGTTCCGGTTCCACCCTAGGCTGGGTAATGGCAGTTAAAGTCCCCTAGGAGGATAACGTTCTCTTGGCCAATTTCGCAGAGAATTTCTGCGATCTCCGGCCACTTCTCAAGCTGTGGCTGGCCTACGTGCCCTGGTGGATTATATACGTTAACGAGGTTGAGGGGTCCGTCACGCGTTATAACGCGGATCCATTCGATGTGGTCGGAGGCTCGCTTTGATTCCCAAGCTGTAAGAAGGATCTTATCGTGGATAAAGAAGACGACCCGTATACCGTAGTATATAGGTCGGCTTGGGTGAAAATTCTTTGGTGTATAGGTGACTGTTGGTTTGGTTTCGGCGACCATCGGTTCCTGAATTGCAAGTATAGGGAACCGGGTAGGGTCAATCGAGTCGAAGGTAGCCCTAGCCTTGTCGTTGTTCGCATTACCGCAGTT